TGGAATACACATTTAAATATTAAAATTGATTAGAAAATATATTTAAGTACTTGGCGTGGATCAAATTTTAGTACCTATAGGAAACACATAATTACCGATTCTTTAAGATATTCCATTCCTTTAATTTAGGCCAAATATCTAAATGCAAATTTAAATGACGATAAACAAAATCATCTCTTTAGAATCTTCTCAAATTCTTTTAAAAATATTTCTTTTATGATCTTGGAAACAGGATTTGTATTCCTTATTCTAATTCGTAAACAACAACAGTCACTTTTTTTTTGTTTGAATGACATTTTTTTTCTCACCACTCTTAACTAGGTCATTGGTCCTCACCTCATACACACTAAAAATATTTATATTAAAACGTACACAAATTAAATAAAACATGTAATAGCACGTAGTTTACAAATAAAAAGAAAATAAATCAGTCTAGGAGAGAAAAACCCCCAAAAAATAGCCCCATTTTTGTTTCATTTGCCAAAATAATACATGAAATATTTCGACTCCCTGAAAAACATATAAACTATAAAAAATTGTTAGATATACACCAATTTATGAATTTCGTTTGTCTTACACAGACGAATTAAAACATACAATAAAACTTCTATAAATTAATAATATTATAACTTTGATAATTTATTAATTTATAGGAAGAATTTGTTTTAAGACTATAATTTTCTGAAAAACTATATTCAAAATATGTTATTCTAAAGAAATAAACTGATTCATGAAATTAACAAGAATGAAATTGAAGCTATGATGAATAATTTTAGTCTTCTTATATAATATTTTAGGAAACTCACTCTCAAACCGCTCTGAAAATTTGCCACATAGGATCCTAAAATCTTGACACGTGTTCCTTCAAATTTTACGGATATCCAGATTTTTTGGTTCAGATCGGAACGAATAGCGAATCGAATCGGATATAACGGATTTTTTGCCCAGCCCTAGGATCCTAAAATCTTGACACGTGTTCCTTCAAATTTTACTCATGTAAAAAATGCTCGGACCGTTCTCTTTGTCTTCCTTGTTTCTGCAATCAAAAAGTATTTTACTCCGCCGATATTGAATCCGAAGCCAGATCCCGCTATGCCTCCCAAAATTTTCTGACACTTCGCCGCTGTGTCTTCCTCTTCCCCAATCTGCACCTTATCGCCTCTAAATCAATCCTTCTCAAGTTAACAAAACCTCTGCTTCTCGCATCAATCCTCGTCTTCATCGTTTCTATATGCAAGTTATTAATCTCGATCTTAAAGTAACAAAAATTTATTAACATAAAATTTTGATCTCAGTCTGATTATAAGGTTCAGATAAACTTTTCGTATTTGGCTCTTATTTTTTTTAGGTTGTAAGTTGTTGAACATCGTTCAAGTTGAAGTCAACTGACAAAATTTCTCCCTATTTATGCTTCTTCATTTTAAACTTTATGTTTTGCTCTCTCTCTCTATGGTTCATTTCTCTTAGTCGTTGTCTTGTAACATTCGGTGAGATTTAGAATTTTTGGTTTTGTGTTTCTTTCTCAGTTGTGTTGATATGCATAATCTTTTGGTTAGATTTACATTTCCATTATTGCTGGTTCTATTCAAAGTCCGGTGAGATTTTCTGTGGAGAATTCAAATATGAATGGAGACACAGAAAATTCCTCTGTATAGATGTGGAAGCAACAAGGTCAGGGACCCTTCAAAACTCCTCTCAGATCAGAAAATGAACAGAATATCTGAGCTGGTGTTGGGAGCGGTAAAGCTCTCCATAATTCTCTGCCTGGAATTATAGCTCTGTTTGTTACTCTGTTCCTTTGTGTTGTCATCCCATTTTGATACCTTAAACCCTATCATTTGTGAAGTATATTTGTACTAATAAGCTACATGAGGGAGCTTGGGAAAGGATATTTTTGTTGTTATTACTGTGAAACATAAAAACCCAAACTTGATTTTTCAAAAGAATAAGATGGAAATCAGTTAAGAGTTTTGTGATGCTCCGACAACATAGAATCTGTGAGACATATGTCTGAAAAACATGTAGACATTGCTGTGGAAAGCTTAATATATAGTGTGCAGGATGCATACTCTTGTGCTGATTCTTCATCCGGTTCGGTTATATCATACCCCGAATTTAGAGTGAACCGGTCATTGAATGATTACGATGCAAATCTCAACCGTCGAACACCGAATTCTTAAAAGTGAATTCCACTTTTTTTCATTTCGCAGTAGTTGTAGGGTTCAGAGGCTGAGAAGAAACCTGATTGCGTTTTGATTCAGATCCGTACACACGCAGAGAAGATGATTGCGAGGAGATTTGTTCGAGATTTGTTCTGATGTTGCTAGTTATGGTTACAAATAAAAGATTAGAGATGGGTTTCTAGCTAGACGATGCTATTTGTTTGTTCAATGAAATGGTCAAGTCTCGTCCTCTGTCTTCCATTGTTGATTTCAGTAAATTGTTGAGTGCCATTGCTAAGACGAAGAAGTTTGATCTTGTTATCTCTCTGGGCGAGCAGATACAATACAGACTTTGGGGATTTCACATGATTTCTATACTTACAGTATTTAGATCAACTCGTTTTGCGTTCGTCTCAACTCTCACTTGCTTTAGCTCTTCTTGGTAAGATGATGAAACTCCTAGTTAAAGAAAAATAAAATTCATTTAGTTTTGTATAGAAAGTTGTAAAAATCATTTAATTTGAAACAAAAAAAAAATTTAGAAAATTATTTAAAATGATATAGAGAGAGATAATTGAGTGAAAAAAAAAAAATTGATTCTAGTCATCCAGGCAAACACGTGTCGTTTTGATCTTACGGCTTTTCAATGCTTGTAATCTTTTAATACATATAAGAGTCGGCAAGCAGTTCTAACGTAAAATAATAAAACAGCAAACAGTTTAGTGCGAGAATGTTCAGTTTATGTCGTTAATTATTTCCTCAGTGACGCTACTGATTTTAGAACTGTCGATTCCTGCGAAAAGAAAACAAAAACAAAAAGTGAATATCATGGAGAAGA